AATGTATATTCCCACGCTATAGGGCCAGATTCATTCGATTTTCTCATCCTATCGAGGGCTCAATACCATGAGGCCACCCGCGACGAGAGAGAGAGAGAGAGAGAGAGAGAGAGAGAGAGAGAGAGAGAGAGAGGCGGCGACCTACACGGAGGGTCGCGGCGAACTCGCCGCCCCTCTCTCTCTCTCTCTCTCTCTCTCTCTCTAGCTCGTTCGAGAAAGGGAGCGGGAATGCATCTTCTCCCGTTTCGTTTTTCGAAACGAGAATCTCTCTCTCTCTCTCTCTCTCTCTCTCTCGACTTCAACTGTTTTCCCGTTGTTTTTTTTTTTCGTTTGTGAATTTCATTTTTTTTTTCTTCTTTCTTTTTTGATCGTGTGTCGTCCCTACAGAAGCGGGGCCCGGCCTTGGGCCTTCCCTTGGCCGACCAGCCTGAGGCTGCGGCGCGTATACGGGAAGGCCCGCGGCCGAACACTGAGCGAGGTACTTGTGGTTTAATCTCTTCCTTATGAGGAATACACAATCTTTGTTCGGTTTGGTCAATCAAGAACAACAACCCATCAGTCAGTCTATAGTTGGGTAGTTGGGACGGATGTCGTAAGATATCCATCATTGGTTTCCAGATAGGATCAGTAGCATATCCTTGGCGAATCTGGTCTTTCAGGTCATTCCCAACATCCAAGTAAAGAGACAATTGCACCAAAGAAACCACTACGTCGGGACAAAGCATCTGCAACCACATTAAACTTACCTTTGATAGTCTTGAGTTCAAAGTCAAAGGTATCAATGAGTGCAGACCATTTTACCAGCTTATCAGAAAGTCTGGACTGTGTTTTTATCCACTGTAGGGTTGAGTGGTCTGAATACACAGTAAAGTGCCTCTCTAACAGGTAGTGCCTTCATGTGTCCAACGCACAGACTAAGGCATAGAGTTCTCTTTCATATGTGGAATTGGCGACTTTGTCACACGACAGTCGTTTAAACATAAATTCTATGGGCCTATAGCCTTTGCCGTCATCCTGTTGGAGAACAGCACCAGTCCCATACTGACTTCCGTCAGTGGTGACAATGAAAGGCAAGGACGGGTCATCAATCTTAAGGACAGGGTAGTGATTTAGTGCATACTTCAATTTCCGAAAGGAAGACTCACAATCCTTATCCCACAGCCAAATAGCTTCTTTCTTTAACAATCTTCGCATTGGTGCAACAGTCAGTGAGAAGTTTCTAACAAACTTCCTATAATAACTAGCTAGACTAAGTAAAGATCTCAGTTCAGTAATAGACTTAGGTTGTGGCAAATCCCTAATTGCTGATATTTTTTTCTCTTCCGGCCTTAGACCTTCTCGTTTACTATGTGTCCTAGGTATAATACTTCAGACTTAGCAAACTCAAACTTCTTTCTGGCACGAGACGAAGGTGCTTCTCATGATCTTCTAGTGTTTTATTATACACTAGAATATCATCGAGATAGACAATGACACACTTATCCAACCATTGACGAAACAAGTCATTTATTGACCTTTGAAAAGTGGCAGGGGCATTCGTTAATCCGAAGGGCATTACCACGAACTCATAGTGGCCATACCTGGTCCGAAAAGCAGTCTTATGCTGATCGGAGGGTTCCACCTCGATCTGGTGATACCCAGACTTCAAGTCGATCTTGCTAAAGTACTTGCATCCCTGTAACTGGTCAAGTAAGTCGTCAAAGCGAGGAAGCGGTTCAACATTCTTAACAGTGACGACATTCAACCCTCTGTAATTTATACATAGACGTAACTCACCTTCCTTCTTTGGTACAAACAAGACAGGAACACCATAAGGAGAGGAGCTCGGGCGTATCCATCCTTTTTCTGTCAAGTCTTGCAGTTATTTCCTTAATTCCTCAAGTTCCCTAGCAGACATTCGGTAGATAGGGCCCTTGGGAATCTTACTACCAGGAATAATTTCAATGGTGTGCTTAATTGCACACTCAGTTATTCTTGTTGGTTCAATTTGTAGATCTTTATACTCATCCAAGAATTTTTCAATCGAAGGAGGATAAGAAGTAAAAGACTCACCTGCTTTCTTTACTAATACCATCATTACTTCCTGTTCCAACCTTTTCTTTGAAACCATTGATCGGAATGCTGGATAACTCATACAACAGATAGAGAGACTAGCGTCAGATCCAGACTCATGAAACAATTTGATAGGTTTCAATTCGGAGTGTGCATCATGCAATTGCAACAATCTTTTCTTTGAACTTGATATCTGGGTTGGCTTCCTCGTGCCAGTCCATTCCCAGAATCAAGTCAAAGGGTAATTTTTTTTCGACCAAGAAGGATACCTCGTGAAGAATCTTTTTTCCTTCCTTGGTGCGAAATCGACATTTAACACGATCAACACATTGCAAGATAGTGATTGTGCGTCTGTCAGCGATAATAAACGTGATAGGTCGAGACATATCTTTTACCTTCATTTCGAGATGCCACTTGCGGATTGCTTTCTCGGATATGTAGGATCGTGTGGATCCTGAGTCCAATAGTGCACCTACGCGTATACGTGCAATCTCTACGTTCGCGAGTAGTAAGTCACCCTTAGACTTAGATTTCTTAGCCCACGAGCTTTGTAATGCTAGCAACTCGATACCAAGCTCGTCAAGAGAGTCGTCCAGAGAGACAGTACATAAGACAGGTTCAGGGTGTTCCGGACGATGGGCCGAAGAAGAACCATCCTCTGCCATGCGAGTCAAAGGGTTGGAAGGGGTCGTAGGCGCCTTACCTTCATCTTGGTCCAAACTCTTGGCGCCTTACCTTCATCTTTGTCCAAACCCTTAGACTCAGTAGGAGCAGATGCTACTCCTACTGGCGGCTCGCTTTTGGGTTACGGATAAGTGGGCACCATGCAATCACATGCCCTGAGCTACCACACTTTAGACATTGTGCATTATCCACTTTTTCCTGCCACGTTTCTTGAGACATTCACATATTTTCCCATGGCTTCCCGACCACAATTCCGGGATGCTCAGGAAACGAGCGTGGTTTCTTCTTCTTCATTACTGGTGGTCGTGGTCCTCTCTTGTTGACCACGGCAGTAGTGACTTCCCACTTCCCGGAATCTCTGCTGCTTGCCACACCCTCGACCTCCAATGGCCACTTCTCCACAGTATCGTCATCAAAGACGGCGAGGGTGTGGTCCTGGCGCTTTTGGCGCCAAAGTATCCGCTTACCAGTACCTGCGCCACCACCATACTTCATAACAGACGCATACGAACTCTTAACCTGAGAAGTCATTTGCTCTCGTTGGAGAGCAAGGTCCCGAAACTGCCTATAATTATACTTACCTGACTTTGACTCTGCCACGAGTTGTCCACGAATGGGCTCGGGCAGAGCACGGGAATAGATGTACAAGACTTGGTTGTCTTGCAGGTTCAGTCCCGGAACCTGCGGCAACCGATCAACTTCTCGAGACAGCGAGTCCACAAAGGTCCAATGTTTTTGACCAATTGTGGTGAGTTTGTCAAAGGTCTTGTCCGCCGTCGTTTTGTCCAAGAAGTGTTCCTTAAGGAACTGCTTCAAGTTCAAAGTTCCAGCCCACTCCCCAATGTCTTCAAACCCTGCCGCATTGGCTTCGGCCAAAACCCATTCCTTTGCTTCCCCGCCAAGACAAAAAGTAGAGAAAGCAACCTGGGATTCGGGTTCAACAGGGGTCGTACTACAATACGTCTGTATTTCAGCAATCCAGAACAATAAATTGTCATATTTTTTGTTGCAGAATGTGAAAGGCAATTTCATTTTGACTTTCTCCTTCCTTTTTGGTTTCTCAGGTTGTGTGGTGGTATCCTTCTTTCGATCGGAAGACTTCGGCGGACTTGAAGGCTCCCTTTTCTTCTCGTCTGATTTCAAAGTCTCTACCTCAAGAGACTTCATTGCGTCTCCCAACAGTTTCTTCGGTTTCTCTTCTTTCTCAGTTCGGACTTCTTCAATCGCCTGATTCTTTCCTTTGACCAGATTGGTAATCATTTGCAATCCCACGGTCACTTCATCAATCCGTACACCATACTGATCAATCTTCATCTCTAGGTGAGCAAGGTAAGTCACGAGTTGAGCCAAAGAAACTGCCTGTCCTTCCCCTTTGATTACAATGACATTTTGTCGAATTTCTTCTATCTTTTGTTCTTGCTGTATATTTCTCTTTCTCCTTCCTCATTTCCTCTTTTCTTCTCTTCTCCCTTTCAAGTGCTTCTTCTAGATGTCTGATATTTTCGTCCACGACTTCTCCAGACACAGCTTCTTTCTTCTCCTCCTTCCGATCTGAAATTTTTGCAAGTTGCTCAATGATATACTTATCAAGTGCCTGACGACACTTGATAAGTTAATTCTGAACACCCATGACGTTGGGGTCTATCTCAATCGATTCAATAGCAGCATGTATTGCTCTCAAATCGAACTGGGCTCGTATGTGGGCTTCAACTTCAGCACCTGCGTCATGGAGTTCAGAGATCAATTTATCCAAGCGGGCTATTAGAACTTTCTTCCGCTCTTCTACTTGCTGTCTGGTTCGGGGGTCGGGGGTCTCCTCATCAATACCAAACATGAGTGAGACGGGAAAGAAACGAGAAGGAATAAATCGAGTGAGCACCAAAAATTTCAGACAGTTCCAGAGAGAATACATCTTGATGTACGTCTGCCGCACAATAAAAAATCAATAAACAATAATAAATTACACGGCCGCACTGATCTACAACAGCAAGATTTCAGAGAACCAAAGAAAAAAATCAAATACAATTATTTCTATTTTCCAACTATGGTTGTTCTTTGTCTGTCTGTGTGGTGACGTCCTAAACAAGAGTGTACAGATACCACCTCAGGCCCGTGTGATAAGATACAACACAGAAGTAAGTACGCACAGCACCACAACACAGCAAATGAAAATGTGAGTATGCCAACAACAACAACAAAACAGTTTGTCAGCAACCCGCCGTGTCTTCCCGATGTCAGTGCGATGATGCACTCTCCCTGACAGCTGGCACTATAGCTGTATAGTCGATTCAGTCAGTTGTACCGCCGTCGTCTTCAGAATGCTTCTCTTACTTGGCAGTACTCCTGCCTGCCACGTGTCATCCCTGGAGTGCCAACATAGCATGTACTGCCACGTCAGCACCGTGTACTACAATGTCCAGTCAACCAAGAACGGGATGCCATGTCAGCAAAATGTGTACTCTGACCCTAGTCACGTGCCACTTCCATGCGTCGCGTTGAGATACCGTCGTCGTTCCAGCCAGTCGGATTATGCCACGTCGGCCAAGGAGACCGATGCCACGTCAGCAGGCAGTCACCACCTCACATAGACAAGTGTGATGACTTACTTCCTGCCACATCAGCAATCAATCCTGTTTCCTCAAGGCCACGTCAGCATCTCCAATGGACCCTATCGCGCGTCAGCATTATGAGAAGTGCCACATCAGCAATCAGCAACAAAGTCCTCAGACGCGGCCAAGGAGACCTATGCCACGTCAGCAGGGGTTCACGAGGCCACATCACTATCGCGATCCAGGCTGGATCACTATCGCGATCCAGGCTGGCGTGCGGTATCTCTTGGTCGCGGTCCCTATTGCCACGTCAGCAGCCTCGTTGGGATCTCCTCTCGCAAGTGAAGTCTGTACCTCGTCAGCAACCCCGACAGTGTCTTCTCGCCAAGTCCGTGCCATGTCAGCATCCCCGGCGTATCTCTTGCCACGTCATCACCTATTCAGCACACGTGCGCACCCCACTTACCTGCACGCCACCTGGCACGTGTACACGTGTACAATCGTCGTCATCTGGAGAACTGGTCTGATACCAAATTGCAATGAACCCAGATTGTGAAGACAATTGTCAACAATGCAAGCCCAGATAAATGTCAACCAGCTGATGATTACCAATAGTAAAAGTCGTATCCCGAAAGAATGAGATGAGATAATCATACATAGACGAAGAGAGAGGAGGGAGATTAGAAAAAGGAAAGGAAAATGAATACAAGGCCCACTCCTGCTTCGGGCTCCCTCCTCGACCACCACCTCAATAGTCAATAGTCTGAACAAGTATCTGAAGTAACCTCAATGTGCCACATGGCACGTCTAATTTAGTCCCTCATCAGCGCTGGAGAAATGACGACATGAAGACCAACAGGTACGTATCCATGATCTCTCCACAGTCCCGATCTCCTCCCGAATGACCATAATCAGAACAGCAATACAAGTCACGTAGCTTCGCCTTGTCAGCAAACAGAAGAACACGTGGCAGCAGCCACATCAGCCAATGATACACGTGGCAGCAGCCACATCAGCAACAGCGCATGGCAGCTGCCACGTCAGCATGCCAAGAAGACAGGTGCAAGCCAGCCACCATGCCGGACCAGCAGCGCCTTGCCGAAACACAATGCCAGCATCGTAGCGTCGAGCCAGCGTTGAAGTCAACGCGTGAAGTCAGCATCAACGCAAGACAGAATGAATGTCAAAGCTAGGAAGTCGGCGCTTATGTAGCGTTGACGCGGGGTCTGGACCCCGGATGCTGCATCCCTCAGCCGTCCAGATCTCAATGCAAACGAGGGCCCAGATTGGTCTGAAACCGAATTCTCTCCGGTCTGGATGCTGTCTGGGTACCTGCTCACAACAAGTGAGTGTATCCAACCAAGGGCCTGGGCACGGTACCTTTGACTCTAGAGTTGACTTTCACCCTTGAATTTCCAGTGTGCAGCGTTTGGTCACACAGCCAAACGCAGCAGACTCAGGCCTGGGCGTGTCTTGGTCACACAGCCCAGTGCAGACCGACTCAGGTCTGCGTTGCCTGGGGCTGAGTTATGGGGCCCAGGCTACCTCTGAACTGGGTTACTGCACATACATCTGCTGCTCACATGATTTATTTTTATTTTTGATTAGTTGGTGGATGGACTGCTAACACCTAACGAACAGCCTATATTAGTACTGTAGTGTTCTACCATAGCCATTTCTGATCGAAGCTGCTGTGAGTGAAACTAATCAAGGTAGGATTAGATCATGCGTACAGCTTGACCAAATGTTGTTGATACCGCTTGAACAGTAGCCTAGGTGACTTACTGAATATTATTTTTATTTATTTTTCAACTTGGTCAGACACATGCTATGGTAGGCCCCACAGAGGGCATTAGTGCAAATAGTGCCTGACTAGCTGATGAGCGGATCAGATAGTGGTGCAGGCACAACTGATGATAGAATACAAACACAGTGGGATACAGGAATTCTCAGGTTCTGCTTCCTGGTGACGAGAGAAGGTTCAGGGCCGAAGCAAGGGCCCGACATCTAGATACTGCTAGGGAGGCAGCAGCAGCTGCAGAACAAGCGTTAGCTAACGCAGTAGCAAGGGCTACATCTGCAGCGGGCTCTTCAGGTGGGCAGTCCTTTCGAATGCCGACCAATGCGCGGTCCTCATCCAGTACGGTAGGATCTAGTCCTAGTCAGATGGCCGGCTTGCAGTACAGTTCGCCGCCGCCAAGCACTAGAGAGGCCACTGAACTACAGCAAGTGGAGTTGATCCGCTTACGATTAGAAAAGGAACTTAGAGAGGCTATTGAAAGAGAAACAGAGATTAGAACTAGGAAAGCTAGACTAGAGAGTAAGAGGATAGACAAGGCTGCAGTAGAAGGGTTAGATTATGCTGTCCTGGATGACACAGGTAGAGTTCTCAAGGCAGGTCTACTGTCCATGCATGCTTACATGGACAGCAAACTCGATGCCATCCTGGATACCATTGACCAGATACTGAGTGTCATGTGGGGGATGGGGAGAGCCTTCACATCTTCAATAGGCGGGCCTAGTTTCCGGCCTCCAGTCTTTCCATCACCGATCTCCTCACCGTGATGACCGGTGCCACTACATCTCAGTATAACAGTTCACCAAGCGGTACATCAGCAGCAGCAGCCCAACTGTTGCTTCTTCATCTTCAGGTCCCACCAGTGGGACAACAGCAACCTTGGTACCCCAAGACCCCTCTGAAACCACCCTCAAACTTCTTATAGGTGATAAGAACGATGAGGCTCTCGACACTTGGTTGAGAACGGTCCCAGCGTGGGTCATTGCAAAGAGGACATTGTTAGAGGAAGAGGTGAACACTGCCGCCTCGTATCTTGAGGGTTCGGCAGCGCGATGGTTAGATGGATTAGTAGCCTCAAAAGGGTTCGGCAGGCGGATGAACGATAGGGCTAAGACCCATACTTTAGAGAGTTTGATGGAGTCGGTAGAAACGCAATGACGCAACCCTCAGCAGGCCCAGCAGGCCACTGACGCGTTGACCCGGCTTGATACTAAAAAGCACAAGTCCGCGCATGCACACTTACCTCTACCGTGGAGCGTCTCATTGTCGTCCCCGGCGTGCGCTATAATCCACAAGTCTTGATGACCATGTTCTTGAGATGTCTTCCCACAAACGTGAAGAACTTGCTGGTCAGCAAGGCCAGCATCGAATATCACACTCTGGACTCCTTCAGCAAGAAGGCCTTAGACTTAAGAGGCTAGGCTAGGAGGAGCCCAACAACCCTTTACGGGCGGAAGAAAGAAGAGTCCATAGGAGTGGAAGAAGACATCTAGTCGATTGATGATGGTTGACTTTGAAGGGAATCAAACTAAGATCGATAATTATTCTGACTTAGTCGACGGGACAGAGTTTGAGGACGAGGATAGTGCTGAGGGTAGCAACCTCGCCACTCTAGTAAAGGTTAAGGCAGGCGGTCGCGGCAAGGCGGTCAACAAAAGCGTCAGGGGCAAACCCAAAACTCAAAAAAGGTACCAGCTTTGGTGAGGGCGGGTCTGGATCAAGATGTGTGGCGAGACTGCTATTCGCGAGGGGCTTGCATCAACTGCGACAAGTACAACCATCAGTAGTTTAGATGCAAAAACACGAAGGTATCATGGAAGACACCTCCCGAAGGTGGTTTTGGGAATTCGTCATCCCACAGTGGGGTTTCTACGAGATCCAATTCGGGAAACACATCGGGTCAGTAGAAGTGGTAGTTGCTTTAACTCCTGATGAAGTGGACGATGTACCCTCCCCACTTCAAGAGTTGGCCGAAGCTATCGACTCTTTATTCACCCCGCAGACGCATCCTGACCCAATGATACTCTGTTCGTTGGATGTGTTTGAAGCCTTAGAGGACTTACAAAGTGAATGGTCGGCAAGAGACCCTCGTGAGTCTTGGGTGGCGCTAAGCAGAGGGAGCACTTCGTTGCGGAAGTCGGTGTAGGTGGGCGCAAGTATGGTGCCTTCTTCGACGTTGGCTCCACGCGAAACTTCATAAGTCGTGATTGCGTTGAGCGATTGCGAGTAGGGGACCAAGTGCAGCGCTTGGGTAGGGCTGTAGCAAAGTGCGCATGGTTGTTGATGATTACATCAAGGATGCAGTCTGCACCTTCTATTTTGGAGGTGGGAAACTTGATCATAAGATTTCGTTCCTAGTTAGCGACGACTTGACATGTTGTTTGGTATGTACTACCTCGAGGTTGCAAAGCCCCAGTTTGGACTGGGACCGAAAGGTACTTAAGCATGTACTACCGAAAGGGAGGAGAGTCAGACTCGCAAAGTATAAGGCTAGCAATCTGATAGACACTTACAGGTGTATGTGTGCATCGACCTTCTATAATTATTATAAACAGGACCAAGAGGAAGGGACATACCTAGTTTTTGTCTTTGAGAAAGGGGAGGCTGTTAAAACACCCGCAAACATAGAAAATATCGTCGCAAGGTACCCCGATCTGTTTGAGGAGCCTTCAAGAGTTGTGGAAATGGGGGTGGTCCATGCCATAGAGCTTAGTTCCAGGGAGGAAGATACACAAAGGAAAAATCTATAGGATGGCACCGGCCGAGTAGATAAAATTAGGCGACAACTGAAAGAGCTCACAGAGAAGGGATGGATACGACCTAGCACATCCCCCTTCGGCTCACCAGTCCTATTTGTTCCGAAGAAGGGGGGGACATTGAGGATGTGCATTGATTATAGAGGCTTCAATGTCATCATTGTGAAGAACGCAAAGCCTCTACCGCGCAGAGACGACCCTTGGGATAGGGTGCGGGGATGTAAGTACTTTACCAAGATAGACTTTAATTCTGACTACCATCAAATTGCCATTAGACCGGAGGACCAACACAAAACCGCATTTCAAACCAGGTACGGTCTGTACGAGTTTGTGGTGATGTCCTTTGGCCTTTGTAATGCGTCGGGTACATTCCAGCACGCCATGAATATGATTTTTCATGACTACTTAGGTAAGTTCATCGTCGCGTACCTCGACATACTTATCTTTAGTAGAATAGTCGAGGAGCATGCTCAACATCTAGAAACTGTACTTTCACTCCTTCCACAATACAAGTCTAAGATTAACTTAGAGAAATGCGAGTTCGGTCGCACTAAAATCTTGTACTCCAATCATGAGATATCTGTAGAAGGGATAAGGCCCGAAGATGCCAAGGTGGCTCGCATTCGTGACTGCCCACGACCTCAGTCTATAACCGAGGTCAGATCTTTCTTAGGGATGACCGACTACTATCGTAATTTTGTGAAAAATTATATCACTTTGGCCTCTCCTTTGACTGATCTAACTCGCCTTGACACACCATGGGAATGGACCGACGAGTGTGAGGCAGCTTTCAAGCGTTTGAAGCATGCTTTCACGCACCATGGTTCCCAATCCGGAGAGGTCATTTGTTGTGACCACTAACGCAAACCGATATAGCATTGGCGCAGTGTTGGCTCAGCAGGAAGGGAAGAAGTTGAGGCCGATCAAGTACACGAGTAAGAAAATGCCATCAAAGAAGTTGGCGAAGTCCACCTACTGGTCCGGGACAGAGTGTCTCAATGAACTTCATGGATACCCTCGTGAACAGCAAGAGTGGTAAGAGACATATCTTCGTTATAGTTGATAGGCTTACCAAGTACGCTAGACTGATTGTCATGCCGGAGACCGCAAAGACTGAACACGTCATCAAGTTATTTATGGATAACTAGGGCGTGACTTTGGACTGCCAAAAACTATCGTTAGTGATAGAGATGTCAAATGTGCAAGACGGCTGCAGAACAGATGGGCAGCCAACTCCAAATGACTTTTGGGAATCATCCAGAAGTCGACGGGCAAGCTGAACAGATGAACCGAGTGGTGCAGCATCTGCTGAGGCATTACATTAAGCCCAGCCAAGATGACTGGGATGAAAAGTTACCTCTCATCGCCAGCATGTACAATAATGTCGTACACAGCACCACCGGCATCAGTCCGAATCAGCGGCACCTGGGGTGGAAGCCTAGATATGCTCTAGACTTCCTCCTGCCTGAAAACCGATCTGCTGCAACTCCCAGAACCATAGAATTTGGAGTCCAGTATGAGAAGTTGCTGCAGCAAGCTGTCAAACACGTTCATAAATCTCAAGAAGCAATGATTGCTTCTGAGAACAAACATCGACAACAGTCCACATTTCAGGTAGGGGAACGTGTCTTGGGTTAAGTCTAGTGAGCTAGGACAGGAATTCGGCATTTCTAGAAAACTAATGCCTCAATACTTTGGTTCTTGGGAAGTCTTGGATATTGTGGGTAGTGAACTGGATGGTCCCTCGTATGTGATTCGAAGCCCTGGTCACTTGCGCACTTACCCTGTGTTTCACACGTCAAAGCTCGCACCTTTTGCTGAGACACAGCAGTTCCCATCGAGGAGATTAATGCTGCCCCCAATCATGGATGGCCACGTGGACGTCGACGACATTTTGGAGCACAAAGACATGCCTGTTCCTAAACCTGTGGGTAGAGGAAGACCGTCGAAGGGGGAGGCTCCTGCTTAAGAAGCATCTCAGCGGACTTTCGAAGCTAAGGGGGATCAAATGTGAGGAATGTGTCCTTATGGGGCCCTAGACAACATGCATATGTTCTGGACTGTGGCCACCACCAAGCCTCATGCCCGCCCTAAGTGAAGGCGTGCCTGAATATCCACGAGAGGCCATTACCTCAGCATTTTCCAATGTCGGTCTCAGACAGTTGCTGCACGTCAGTTTGTTGAAGGGCAACCTGGGCCTCACCCTGGGCTCTTCCAGAAGAAGAAGCTGCGTCAGGCAGTTGAGCCCAGGATGCAGGTGGTTGCGCCCTGGGCACACGCAGTGTGAGGCCGACACATCACGAAGTGGCCACGGGCCAATGAGAAAGCAACATTGTCGTCACAGCTACCCCGCGGGCCAATGCAAACACAGCAAACATTTGGAGCCTGGAAAATCCTGCGTGTGCCCAACTAAGAAGGGCCCAGGTCCTCAACTGTAGACATGGGCCTGGGCGCAGACACTGGGGCCCGACCAGAAGATACTGGAAACTTCCACGGCCAGGCCCAGACAGTCCAGCAGCACCAACATCTCCCATATAGGGAGGAGGCCAGCCAGTCCAGGGCATTCTGGCCTAGGCAGGCAATGCGGACTCGCTGCTGCGAGACAGCGCGAGTGTCTGCACGCGCCAGTGCTGGCTGGGGCGCGCGCGAGGGCTGAGTGGCATGGGGCGCTGCAGGGCAGCGGGGCGCCAAGCGGCCATAGCCGGGCTGCAGGGGCGTGGGCAGGTGGAGGCGACGGTGGTCTTCAGGAAGGAGGCGCAGGTGTGGGTGGACGGGTGATGAGGGGAGTCGAGAGTACGTAGCTGGTGTATGCGGGAGGTTAGCATTGGTGTTGACGTCACGTACATTGGTCTTCGAAGTCAAAGTGAGCCTGTTGCACGAATGTAGATAGGCTAGTTAGGATGAGTAGAGTGGGCTGGGCGCTGGGCGCCAGACAGTAGGAGCGACATTGAATACTGCGTTGGTGTGGCCTGAGGGCCTGGAGCTCACTGTATCACTCTTATTTGGATGGAATCTTGGTGCATTTGACCTCTCTGCTTGTTGCATGACTATCTGGACTTCTGCCTGATTTTGCAATTTGGTTATCTGTATATCGCTCTCACTCATATTCCTTGCACAACTCAGATCTGAAAAAAAAAAATGGATGGCTGTTTTCTGACTGGTCAGCAGACGGTCGGCCCTAGTGGTCAGCTGCAAAACGGTCGGCCCTAGTGGTCAGCTGCAAAACGGTCGGCGGTTGGCAGGTATGCAACCCTGGTTTTAAGTTTTAACAGAATTTTTTGATTTTTTTTTTTTTTTTTTTTTTTTTTTGGCGGGGGGGGGGGGGGGGAGGGGGGGTGCACTGAAGTAGCCACCAAGTTATGCCCGGGCGTTATAAACGAATATAATGCCTGTCGGGCATTATATTCATATACAACGCTCAGGCATTACTTTTGGGTGCAGACGGAAGCCCAGCAGGGCCACCTGGGCCAGTCTGGGGCAACCCGGGCGGCCACCGGCTGGTCGCCCAGCTTTTAGTCTTAACCTGGATGGGCAAAACTCTGACGAATCTTCCAGTATGCCCCGACCATGAGTCATCACACCCAAAACTCTAATCTCCACATAGCTGTTGGGTTTTGATGGATTTCCAAGAGCAGCTTCACTCACACTCATTTGATTTTTTATATCCCTCAATATCTCTCTTTCTGACACTTTTCTCTAGTTATGACATAACCATTTCAGGAGAAGTACTTCATTACTGGTAGACCCTTCTACACGTTTACACATGTACGACTGCCCCATTCAATGCAGGTGTGACATCGAGTTCTCATGTGACATGAATTGGTGCAAAAGGAAATCAGGTTTCAGAGTCAATCACTTCCTCTGCATCTCAAAGGAGATGTACAAGAGTCCCTCCCACTTCCAACGGGGGTGGAGAACAGCAACTGTACAAGTGGCAGTGCACTAATTTTAGTTTTCTAAAATAGGTACATGAGATTTGATGAAACGTGTGTAGTATCGCCCAAAAAGGTACACACACACACACACACACACACACACACACACACACACACACACACACAGCTTAGAGCCAAGCAATAAACAAAACTGTACATGAGTAAGTGCTGCATCATATGAGCCCCGCAGCACGATACACACACACACACACACACACACACACACACACACACACACATTTCTGACCAGCCAATGAACACCCTGTTTTTCTCACCTTGCACCATCTGTAACATCGTCTGAATCGGAATCCGAGTCCCAACTTGAATCTGAATCTGAATGTCCATCTCTACTAGCCCGAACGTTGTCCGCATTTTCAAAGCCCTCTCTCCTTCGTGCACCAGTCCCAGCAACCCGAGAAGAGCCTCGTGAACCTCCTCTGGCACCACCAAGAATGGCAGCGCCAACTCGTTGCTGTCTTCGCCGGTACTCTGTTCCAACAAATAACATATGCAAGGCACACTGCAATGCATAACCACCTACCCACACGCGGAGGGGCGTTGGGGGCTTCTCAGTTCTCGCAATGACCAAAACAACTCCTGCAACAACAACAAAGATAAGATTCCACAACAGATCAAGCACGACCACAGGCCTCGAGTAAGCCCAGTCACTTTGCCGCTCTTCCAGGTGTTCTGCTGCAGTTTCACGTACTGCTAGAGACTGCTCGCTCATGAATCGGCCATTACTCGACCTCCGAAGGCTTACTGCTGCCTCCCCTATCCGCCGGTTTGTACTCATTGCCCTGGTGCTCTGCTGCAGACGACCCCCATCATGGGGGGAAACATTGTTCATCACAACGCCATCGCTACCTGTCCCTTCCACAGCGATTTGTGGCTGAGACCCAAGCAACGGAGTCATCAAGGGGCACCTGCTCCCCGATATGTTCTCCATCCCCGGAAAAATCCCACAAACAGAGATATATTCTTCTGCAACCCCAGCCCCCTCCCCCAAGCCCCTCTTCGGGAAAACTGCTTTGGAGACTCGAAAAAATATACTTGTCAACCTGTACATACACCACCTTCACCACCACAAGTCCCTTTTCTGTCGACAAAAGGGCAAGGACCTAACTGCACCACAGGTCTATAGATGATCCAGCAAGCACTGGCATCACCAGATAGATCAACCTCCCTTTCGTTCTCCACAGCCAAGTGATTCTGATCTTGGCTGTAGTCAGCCCCCTCGTCAAGACCAGCTGCCAGACCAGCCCAAAGTGAAAGAAATAAGGCGTATGAAAACCTTCAGTACATGGTCAGGCGAGGAAATTAGACATATACTGTCACATATGCGCACCAAAGCGACAAAACATCAGGTCCAGGAGCACCCGACATGAACTACCAGGCACGTGATGATGTTGCACCACAGCACAATCCCATAGCAGAAACAATGCAGTGGTTTGCAAGGCACAGAGAGCATGAAATCCAGTGATAATGGAGAATCCAGTTGAATTTAACGAACGTCCCAAAGTCAGAATAGAACGCTAACCAAACAGCTGCTGAAAACAAGGCAAGGCCTTTCAGCTCAGATCTTACTCTACTGCCACATCCATTGCGCAGCAAATCTGGAGGTGGCATACGGCTCACCATGGATATATGGATGTTGTGAGAGTAATCCAGTAAAATCCAAACACCACATTTGAAGGAGATGAGGAAGAGATGGAGAAGAACTTAACTGCCGCTTGGAGAATGCCAGTCCTCAGGAGCTACCAGAACTATACAGGTGGTCAGAGAAAGGGCAAGGGCTTACCCTCCCATGTTGGCATCCATCACAATTGGAACAAAAACAGTAATGGCAGCCTCTTAATCATATAGCACACACGTGTTGTGGACATAAACACTTCTCACTATCATATACACGGGAAACTACCAGTTGCAGGGCATACTTCTATGATGAACCAGAACAGCAGAGATAAAAAGGCTGACATGTCAGATGGCTCTAATAAACAGAAAAGAGAAATCAATACTTCCCTCTTCAACAAGAAAAACATATATGATCTTGGAAATCTTATGACTGACGGTGAGCAGTGAAATCTCTCGAAATATAATTGTTTACTGAGTGCGTTTTCACAAACAGAGACAGAACAAAGAGGAAGGAAATGAGAGAGAATAAAAGGAGCAACTAAAATGGGGCACAGAGAGACAGACGGACAGACAGATAGACAGGAAGACAGAAGGGAGACCAAAAAATGTGGAGGACTAGGGAAGCACAAAGATAAGCTGCAGGGCTGAAATGAGACCACAAAGACTACGATGTGAGAGGACGATCAGTAATCAGATCGCGGCAGCAGAATATGTTCCAAGAAATAGTTCTGATCGAATTACTGCCAGATCCCAATCGCCAGAAGGCAGATCAGAGATATTGCACCTCTGGTTCACCCCTCTGCAATCGACTGCAATGACCACAGGTCAAAAGAACAAATGTGTTCCAGTAACAGGGCACTGCCCTTATGTCCATTGTGCCTCCCTGATCATCTGCCACTATCAACTGCATATGACATGTTGTTTCCTGCACACACATACATACACAACCAAGGCACACCCACAACCATGTTACATGCCCAGTTGGGCGATGTACATAATAACTGAGGATCCGCAATGTGATAAAAAGGACTGAATGGACAATGCAGTGCAAGTGAAATCTCAACAAGCAGTGTACCTTCTGATACATACAAAAGTGCTGCTTTATAGCGCAGGGAAGACTTAGCTACAAGTCCATACCTGACCGAGACTGACCTCTATCACGTAGTGCAAGATAGAGTAGCAGAATGCTAGAATATCAATAACTAGCCCAATCAATGTTGTAACGCAGACTAAACACACACCATTCTCATCACAAGGTGTGAAGAGACCTGGCGCTATACACAGGAAGAAGGTGCCAGGCCCTGATCATGCACAGACGAAGAGGAGGGGAACAGACGCAGAGGAGGGAGAGAGATGGGAATGTCGTCAACACCAAGTCTTTGTCACAAGTCCCAAATAATCCCTCGTCAAAATGTCTGAAGCCCAAATGTCGAGTCTGGATTCAAATGTCACCAAGCTCTCTCCTTCTCTCGTAGTCTGCTGATGCAGTGAAGTCCGGTAGCGAGAGGGTGAGAGGGAGATGGTGGACTGAGAAGAGGAAGAAGAAGAACTCTATCTCTCTCATATGCCAGGTACTAACCTGTGAAGATGGCGCTGTGCTGCAGGTACCTCGAAGGTGAAGCTGGAGCTATGGCGCTGCAGGTAAGTATCCCTGGCCTCCGCCCAATCTCTCCCTCTCTAGTACTACTCTAGCTGCTATGGTGCCCAGCGCTGAAGACTACTGCTAACGCTACTAGCGCCCAGCGCTGAGACTACTGCTAGCGCTACAACTACTCCTGCAGCGCTCCTCCAGAGTGCTGCTGCCGAATCCTGAAGACTACCTCCTGCCTCCTGAACTGTAAATGAAGTGCCTGGGAAGTACCTAGGAACTACCTACCGGCCTGAAGGGCGGGCCAGTCCTATATAGTGTTGGCCCGTCCAGGAGGCTGCTCTTGCCAATGCCGAAACGTGCCAGACCCTGGCGTTGAAGCTCAACCAGGGGTTGTCTTGAAAACAGGCCTGAAATGGCCTGTGCTAAAACCTTGGTTTGTTGCCTGAGTTTCAGGGAGGGTAGGACCGATGAGGGCCTGAAAATGGCCCTCAGTTTCAGGCTGAAAATACTCAGGGCCGGAAAGGCCCTGATTTAGCCTGAAACGACACAGGGCCTGTAGGCCCTTGTTTTCAGGCTTTTGGCCTGAAAACGTCACGGCCCCGAAAGGGGGCCCGTGCAGCCTGTTGCAGGCGCAGCATGTAACACCCCCCCCCCTCCTTGTGAAGTCAACCCAGGGCCAAGGCGAAGCTGACGATCTGAAGGTGGAACGTGGATGTGGGTGTGACGTGGAGCCAAAGATACCGGCTTGCCTTGCATCTTGCGTTCGTAGCGTGCGAGAACATCTGGAGCTGTTGCTTGGAGTTCCACACGGGTCAACCAACGGTCAGCTCTGTAACTGCAGTACGCAAAGTGTACCAAGTACTCAGTTGGCCTGTTGCCGTAGCGCTGCTGGGAGATGATGTCGCCAACCTCTTGAAAACCGTCCATAGAGGGTGGGTCTAGTGATCGTCACCCGGGGAAAATCGTCATGTTCTGCTGGCGTGTAAAGAGCCAGTTTTGAGCAATGAAAGACTGGGTAGACGGGCAAGTGGGCGGGCACCTGAATAGTGAAGGAAGGTCCCTCGGGTGCATCCCCAGCGGGTGCCATGATCGGCCAGGGCGCCATCCATTTCGGGAGGAGCTTGCGAGAGAGATCTTGTTCAAGGCTGAATTCCGCGGCGGAAACCCAACCGAGATCGCCGGCTCGGAATCGGCAAGGAAGATGCTGGCAATTGGCCTGCTGGCTCATGCGTTGCTGCATCCTGGTCATCTGGTCGTGTGCCCTGACAAGTAGCTCTTGCATCCGACGCAAGAAAACAAGATGGTCGTCGCTCTCGGCCGTTCATGGAATGATTGTGTCCAACGGCGAAGTGACCGGCGAGCCGTGCTCGAACTCGAAGGGTGACATCCTGATAGTCGGGTGGATGGACGAGTTGTATGCCAACTCGACATCTGGCAGCCGCTCAACCCAATCCTTTTGGTCGGGACGGATGAGAGTGCGAAGGAGAACCTGTGCGGTCTGATGCGCCCTCTCCGTTTGGCCATCGGTTTGGGGGTGGCGGGCCGAACTTGGCTTGAGAGATGAGCCCCAACGTTTGATGAGCGCCAACCAAAAATCAAATATGAACCGAGTGTCGCGGTCACAGACGATTTCCTTGGGGTAACCCTTGGTTCGAATCCAACCGACGTAAAGAACGTCGGCCAACAACGGTGCCTTGGCATGATAGCAGCAAGGCAAAAACATGGCAAACTTGGTGAGTCGGCCGACCACCGTGAGAATCCCATCCACACCGGTCTTGTGCTTGGGGAACGGCCCGGTAATGTCCATGGCAATCGCTTCCCTTCAGCGCAAGGGGACCGGTAACGGTCGCAACTCGCCGTACGGACGATGGTTGCGAGATTTGCAGCATGACTCGCAATAGCGTGTGACGTCGTCGAGAAGGCCGGGCCACCAAAATCGCTCGCGAAGTCGGCCAATCGTGCGATTGACTCCAAAGTGTGCGGTGGCGGGAGCATCTTGGAACTCGCCAAGAAGCCGTGTACGCAAGTGAGAGTCATTTGGTACGCAAAGAAGGTCCTTCCCCCCCGTGTGGACAAACAAGTACGCCTCTTGGATCCGGTAGTGAGAAGCGCCGGATTAGGAGAGGATCAATTCGCGTACTTGTCGCAAAACTCCRGGTCGGCTTGRTAGCCGCGGATGAAGCTGTCCCGCAGGTCGTYGCCRATCTCGAAGGTCGAGTAGACTGCGGTACAATGATCCRSACATCGTGAAAGAGCATCCGCAAAACGGTTTGACTTCCCCGGAATATGATCGAGAAAGAAGTCAAATTGGTCGATGAAAGCCATCCATTGGGCGATGGTGCTATTGACGGTGTCTTGGGTCTTGTAGAAGACCAACGGATTGTTGTCCSYTACCCATCGGAATTGGCTTCGACCAAGGAGGAAGTGCCGCCACCGCTTGAGAGCGTGGACGAAGGCGAGGAGCTCCTTGCGCGCATCATCAATGGAGTGCACGACGGGCACATTCTTGCTGAAGTAGTCGACCGGGTGCCAGTCCACGCCATCGTGTTGTTCGAGGACGGCACCAATGCCATAGTCGGACGCATCCATAGTGACGCGTGTAGGCAATAGTGGGTCGTAGATGTGCAAGACCTCCGCAAATAATAGCGCGACTTTGAGAGCCAAAAATGATTCCCGCGCATCCTCTCCGAAGTCAAACGGTCGATCCTCACATTGAAACTTGGACAAGTGGGCCGCGATCTTCGAGTTTCCCTTGATAAAACGTTGGTAGTAGCCGGCAAGGCCAAGGAACGAACGGACATCCGTGACGTTCCGCGGCTCCGGCCACTCTTGGATGGCTTGAATCTTGTCCGATAACAGATTGATGCCCTCCGGTGTGACAAAATGGCCCAAGTATTCCAGCTCTTGCCGGACAAATTCGCACTTGTCGCGGTTGGTCTTGTACTTGCCGCGGCGGAGCGTCTCCACCACTCGTCGAAGGTGCTCAAGATGATCCTCCAATGACCGGCTAAAGACGAGAATGTCGTCTAAGTAGACCAGCACGAACCGGTCCAACATTGCACGAAACTCGTTGGTCATTGTCGCTTGAAAGGTCGTCGGGGCGTTGGTGAGGCCAATAGGCATGACCACCCACTCAAAATGCCCGTACCGCGTCTTAAACATGAATTTGTAGCGACCTTCAATCGGATCGAAATCTGATGGTATCCCGACTTCAACTCCAACTTAGAGAAGTACTTTGCGCCGCCCAATCGCTCAAGAAGATCGTCGACGCGAGGAAGAGGCCCCGCATTCTTGACGGTTTGCGCGTTGAGCTTGCGGTAGTCGATGCACAATCGTARATCTTTGTTCTTCTTCCGTACGAAAAGAACTGGCGCTCCGTATGGAGAGCGATTAGKGCGGATCCAGCCCTTGTCCAACAAGTCGTCGAGTTGCGCGCGGAGGACCGTAAGCTCCTCCTCGCTCATGCGATAAATGCAACCTTTCGGCGGCACCACACCGACCTCAAGAATGATCTCGTGAGAGATTGGCCGATCCGGCACCACACCGGTAGGTGACTCGAAGATGTCGGCGAACTCGTCAAGTAACCGCACCACATGGGGGTCCGAAGACAAGTCCGTTGGTGAAGAGTCGACTACCGCGACGGTCCGTAGGAAGCATAGGTCCATTTCGTCGGGCTGCTCGTAAGCACAAGTAGCCCAGAATGACCAGGCCGTCACCACTTGGCACCGAATCGAAGGGTGCGGAAGAGGAATAGTACACGGCACTTYGACGCCAAAGGCGTCGCGAATGGTAAGAGTCCKCCRGTGGAAGTTGACCRTGYAATCCGCACTGCCAACTTGACCGTGTAATCCGCACGCCAAAATGTCGAATGTCACCGGTTCGGATGCATGAGGTGCAAAATACACCAGTACGGCCTCGATGTAGYGGTCGATAAGYTGCTGCGTCCTTCYGCCTGCCAACTTGATAGCCGTCGGGTTTGCCTTCCTTCGAACTTTTGCGCCAAGGCCAGCCTTTTGCATAACGGYCTGGCTCATAAAATTGCGAGACGCGCCACTATCCAGCAAAGCGCTGCAAGACGCTTGCCCAACTTGGATGCGGACATAGAGGAGCGGTGCATTGTTGTCGTCRTACCKCTGATTGCGAAACTCKCGGGCCACCTTGGTAACATATGCAAGGGTTGTCCCCCACCGCGACTTCGTCATCCGTCGGTGTAGTTGGTGGTGCATAGAAGGATRAGTACGTSTGAAGATGAGCGCATAATGCTGCGCATTGTGGTCCTGGCAAGCGGCCCGTGGTCGAGAGAGGAAGCCATGCAAAATCCTCGAACGTGAGCGGGCCCAATACCTCTATATTGAACTCGCGCGACGAATCCCATGAAGAATCACTTGAAGACGATAAGTTGTCGTTKCTGGACGGAGAASAYGCCGCACACACGTCTTGTCCTTGAGCATGAGTACCCARCGTAGGAACGAGCCGGGCAGCATAGTCCTCAAAAGAATAAAGAAGAGGACTATCGACTTCCACATGTGCCTCRGAACGAAGGGCGGTCACCCACGAAGTGACCGGTTCCGAAGGCGTCGAGAGTGTCATCGAGTCACTCCCGGCGGTGCTCACTTTCCCGATTTGCCCTTGCCTTTCGACTGGCAGGCCATTGTGTCGTGGAGATCGCTGTTACACCACAGACAACAACGGAATCTTGTGYGTGCCTTGTATGCTTGCTCGGAAAGACCGTAATGGGACCATGGGGCTGGAGCTGCTGCGTCKGGCTYGGGGCTAGATGYGATGTTCGTCTTCGCCTTGCCGTGTCCTTGGCCTTTGTCGGGGCGGCCACCTTCCCGGGCGGGTGCAAGTCCGTCCCCTTCATTGGCAGACACAACCTCGCTAGTTTGGTCGTTYGGTGTTGCCGCCGYGACCAYGGCCACTTTCGGCCGATGCTGATCTCTGCTCTGGCCTGGCGCAGACGAACGYTGGAGATTCTTGRCCTCCTTGTTCGTGACAATAATCTGCGCGGCCTTGTCGAAGAGTTCTGSYGGTGTCGTCAGGGTGTCCTCAACGTGAGTCAAGGCATTGTCCAACGCCGGACGCGACCTCGAGATGAAGTAGTGTTTGATGGCTTTGAAGCCCATTTGGATGTCCGGGACSGATGTSAAGTGTTGGTACTMGGCAATCCAATCAACACTCAGCAGCGTGCCTTGTTCGAAGACCATCAACTTGTCCATTGCCTTGATCTCCGAYGGCTCTACTTGGAACCGCTTATGCCACGCCGCCTCTAGATCATCCCAACTGATCTTGGTATGCAAGTCGGCAGCCACCACTCCGTACTTGGACAACACATTGTCCAACCATGCTTGGCACGCGCCCCGCGACCGGGAGTATAATTACACGTGGTGCTTGTGTTCGCTGACGTGGTGGAGCTGCAACTTGAGCTCGAACTTGCGGAACCATGGAATCGGGTCCGTCTTYGCCGAGTCGCAGAAGATCTTCTGCCCATCGAAATTTGGAGTTGTCTCGCGCGGTTCCGAGCTCGAGTGGTTGGCGGCAGTACAGATCCGCTGCTGCAACTGTTCCGTTGCGGTTTGCTGTAACTGCATGCCGTCCTTGAGGGATCCAACGTCAATCTCCAATGCCTCGAGGCGATCGGAGGTGTTGGAAGAGCTGGCAACGGGGGCAGCAACGKTTTGTTCCARCTSCTGGAGGCGGTTGGTGAGTTKGTCAAACACCTGATTGTGTGTCTGAAGCGCCTCGTCGAGGTTGTGAATGTCCTCCTGCTGCGCAATGCACGTGGCCAGAAGGTCTGTGAGATGGGAGAGGGGTAGAGCGATCTTGTTTCCACTCTCTTCTAGCTTCCCATTCTCGATCTCCGCCCGCCAGTCTGCTGCCATTGTGAGCAAAGCTCGCTCTCCACTGAATATCTTCTCGCGTCGTTGAAGTCGTTCTTCATCAGCAGCCTTTGCTGATGCCTCGTCTTGCTGGCGCTGCTGTTCAATTGCCAACAGACGTGCCTTCTTGGCGTCCTTTGCCTTCTTCTTTGTTGTGGCTGCCACTGCATCCAACCGTTGCTTGGCGTCGATAATCAGAAGCAGCATCTGCGCCTGATAGGCCTCGTCTGTTTCCCCGGACATTTCGTCCATGATGGTTGTTTTCAAGCGCGTAAGCATAGACCAGGCTGGGGCTTGCTGACATGGCTGCTGACGTGTCCTGCTGACGTGGCCTGCTGACGTGGCAACTTACCAATGCCACTGCAGGGGGTACCCGAAGACAGATAGAGAAGATAAGACGAGAGGGGGCAACAACGTAGGTGGGGAGGGGTGGGTGAGGATAAATTGCCCAGGTAAGGAGCCACTAATCAAAAAAGAAAAGTTTGAACTTTGCAAAAACATTTTTTCGAGAAAATAAAAATCCCGAGTTTTGCAAGTTCAGTAGGTCTCCCAACTTCCCTTGAAGTGCGAAATTATCAAGGAGAAAAAAAAATTCAAACCATCCGACTGCCAATGATTATCAGGTAGTGAAAATCATAGAACTGCAAATAAGAAAAATTCCGAAAAGAAATAACAAGTATTCGGACTTACTCAGATGAGAGTATTCGCAGTTTGGAAAATGGTACTGCAAGAGGGATACCCGGATACCCCGCACCGTTTTGGAAAAAACGGATTTCAGAAAAAAAAAAATATTACGAACTTCCAAATAACGGGAAATTGCAAAAGGAAATCGAAATTTTTGAAAAAAGATATTCCAGATTTTCTAACAACGAAATTTCAAATTTTCAGAAGAAAAACGAAAACGGAAATTTCTGATGTTGCGCTATTGCGATTTTCCACAACAGAAATAGCGCGAAAACAAAATCCAAGGAAAGAAAAAAAAATCTGATTTTCAGCAGTGAGGTCAAAATCGTGATTTTGGGAGCTAACTAGTGTGCTCTAATCAATCGATACAGAAGAATCGTGAGTCAATGTCCATGCCCACCAGGGCAACACCAACAACATAACCCAAATGAAGCTCTCTCTTGTGAATGGCGCCAGGCGCCCTATCTACTCTACAGCCTATCCTACAACTACAGCAATGAACAGCAGCCAGACAACTTGACTACCAGCGAGTGATGATGTCAACACCAATGCAGACCTCCACCATCACCAGGTACRTGTCCTCTTCCCCACACTCTCCCTTGTTACCCACACAGCGCCCTTCACCTCCRAAGTACCACCTTCGCCCTCACTTCCCCTGCACCCACATGCGGCCCGGCTATGGCCGCCAGTGCTCTGCAAGCAGGCAGCGCCCTACCGCCTAGCGCTGCCCTGCTTCTTCTTAGCGCAACGCTGCTCTGCATTAGCGCAACACACTTGCATCTGCGTAGCGTGCCCGCATATGCCAGCATTGGCCAGGATCCCCGCTGCCTCACCCTGCTTGCCTATATGCCAGTGCAGCGTGTGGGCGGCCTCCCTTCAGCCTGTAACCGGGGCCCAGAGGCTGAAGCCAACTCGATACAGTTGGGCCCCGGGGTAAGGCAGTTGCGCCTCCTTCATCAAGGCCTGCGGCCAGATTCAGACAGTGGGCCGATTTCCCTTTGGCATTTTCGGCCTCTCTTCCCACCATGCATTGTCGGCCTCACGTTCAGATGCCCAGGGCCTAACCAACTCAGAGGCCCTGGGATTTCAGCATTTGCTGAAATTCGAGACTCCGTGCACTCCAACCAACTGGCGTGCTGCAGCTGTATGGACCCCACTTCGTGAAATGTTGCACAGAGGGCTCTTGTCGATTTGCTGGCCCGCCTTCACCTAGGGCGGGCACTAGGCTTGCTGGGGCCTTAGCCCATACATGTACATCATGGCAAGGCCCCTACTTGAGGGCTCAATCCTCACATTCCATCCCCCTTAGCTTCGAAAGTCCGCTGAGATGCTTACTTCGCAGGCGCCTTCCCTTTCAGTTTCTTCTCATAGTCTGCCACCACCTGAGGGGCTGTGTCAATCAGTTCCTCCCTGGTAAACCAACGATCTTCTTTAGGATCCGTGTGATGCCTGAATCTGACGCGGTACTCTCTCTTGGGCTTGGGAGGTCTTCCTCGGCCCAGCGACTTTGGAACAGGCATGTCCCTGTGATCCACAATGTCGTCAATGTCAACTTGACCATCCATGGTTGGGGGCAGCATCGATCTCCTGGAAGGGAATTGATCTGGCTCAGCGAAAGGTGCAAGCTTTGAGGCATGAAAAATTGGGTGAGTGCGTAGATGACCAGGGACGCGAATGACGTACGTAGGACCATCCATTTCATCTCCCACTACATCCAGGACTTCCCAAGGACCAAAGTATTGAGGCATTAGTTTACGAGATATTTCGAACTCCTGTCCTAACTCACAAGCCTTGACCCAGACACGTTCCCCTACCTGAAATGTGGACTGTCTGCGGTTTTGATTCTCAGAAGCAATCATGGCTTGCTAAGCCTTCTTCATATGTTCAACAGCCTCTTGCAGCAACTTCTCGTACTGCACACCGTATTCCAGCGTGCCTGGAGTTGCAACAGGTCCGTTTTCAGGTAGGAGGAAGTCTAGTGTTGATCTAGGCTTCCATCCTAAGTGCAGCTGGTTAGGACTAACGCCGGTACTGCTTTGTATAGCATTGTTGCACAGGCTGGCGATGAGAGGTAACTGCTCATCCCAGTCATCCTGGCTGGGCTTGATGTAATGCCTCAGCAAGTACTGTACAACTCTATTCATACGTTCGGCTTGTCTGTTGGCTTCGGGATGATTCCCTGAAGTCGTTTGAAGTTGACTGCCCATCTGTTCCGCAGTCTTCTTCCACAGCTCACTTGTAAATCGGACGTCTC